GCAAAAAGCTTTAATACATAAAATCATTATATTATCCATTCTTGAATTATTAAATACATTATTATAGAGAGAATCGAAGATTCATATTTCTAATTTTTTTCTTGTATCAAAATGATTCATCTTGTTAATCTTCAAAGCAAAAAGGCCTGCTAAAAAGTCGGATGCCCAAGAATATAAAACATGGTCGACTGTTACTGTCGACTGTTAATGTCGAATGTTACTAATTGTACGTTAGATAATTAGAAAGACAAACTAGGAACCAAAAATAGATTAAACAGAAATTCCAATTAGCTTTATTACCGCTTAGCAGAGGCTGATAACAATTTTTTTTATTAAATCAATTATTATTAAAATACGGTAAAATGCGTTAATTATTATAATAAAGCTCTTGAGAAATGTTTATAAATATTTTATTTATTTGTAGTTCTTCAAATACGCATTAAATTCTGTTTAAGTAATAATATCGTTAAATACCTGCATTAATATTATATAATATTTATAAAGAAAATTATTTTGCAATTTTCTTTCTGGGAGTAAAAATTTGATTTGAAATAAGTAAAAGGACGTTAACCAGTTTGCGCATGACGATGTGGTACGTAATAATATTTTGTATTTATCTATGATATGTTATGTACATGAAAAGGACGTGACTAAACATAACATCTGGTACGAAACTACGAAATATACACTATTTCAGTCGGCTTAAGGAATTAGTCAGTGGCGTTTGTTAAGGATCGAAACAGTCAAAGAAACGTATTATTCAAATACGTCAAAAAATTTTGTGAGACGCTTTTAACATATCGTAACACATATATATTAATTTCACATTATAATATATATTTATAATTCTTTTCTGGGAAAATCTAAATTTTTTTCTGAGAATTATTCTATATATTATATATTTTGATGCGATTAATATCTACATAATATATATATGTATATGACGTGATTTTGCAGCATTCCGTTATATCGTGATATAACGAAACAGTTACACAACTGATTTATATTGAGAACAAGGTATGTTCATTATCTATATAGAATAGAATTTAAATATAAAAAATATATATAAAATAGATAAGCAATACCAAATTTTTATTATTACATCGGATTAGTATAGTTTTTACATTATCACAAGATAGCTTGCCCCGTTCTTAAGAAATTTGACATTATTTTTATTTCTTATACATCTTATACTTTTAACTACACGATCTCCATAAATAGATACCAAAAATAATACTTTATATTATTACAGATAGAAATAAATAAAAATATACAGGAACTCGGTATGGATGAGAGAGAAGTGTATGAATTGTCATCTAGAGAGGTAATTTTTCTCTTCAAATATGATAGTTTAATGTGTCAAATATAATGATATTATTGGAATCATATTCACATACAGAATTTAATTGATTATACATAATAATCCTTGAAGATATTTTCTTTAAACCGAATTACAACATAGTATAAGTATAGTTCTACATAATTACGTAATAATTTTTTTGTTAAATAAATGTCTTATTCTTAAATAATATTATATTCTTATGCTTGCACGAAGTACTGTATCTGCTTCATCAACAAAGTATTTTTTACGCAATCTAGGATGATATACGTATATATTACGAGAAGAAATCATTCGTAGGTTGATAACGTTCTTACAATTTTAATTAAGTTTTCAAGTCGTCTCTCTTTCTTCCCTTTATTGATTCTTTCCATTATCTTCTCTTCAAACATCATCGTCATTCAAATAATTAAATATATTGTATAAAAACAAATTGCTCTTTTTCTTTAACCACAATTGAAGATATTAATACATTTATTGATGATTTTCAGAACGGTGCGAGAATTGTATTTGCAACTGATGATTATTTCGGTGTGGCCGAAAATTTACTTAAGGTAAGTGGTGTTGTCTTCATAATAAGTAGATTGATGTAATAATTTATTATAATCATTAGTCACTTGAACGGTTGTTAATCTGTTAGATATTAGCTATAATTTTGGTAATCAACAATAAATAGTATCTTTTTAATGTTTTAAGAAATATGAAACACAAAATACAACAATAAATTTATAATGACTATAATGTATAAAATGTACAGAATATGTACAGCAATAAAATTGCACAGTTAAATATGCATAGTATTAATATGTTCATCAATGTTAATTCTTTATTTCAGGAAGAAGAACCTGTACAACAGGACGGATGGGTAACCCGAAGTAGACACGAAGAAGGACATGATTTTGCGATTATTGAGTTACCAGACGAAATTAAAATAGATTTTATTTGCATAGACACGGCTTTCTTTACGAATAATTTTCCGATCCAATTTTCCATACAAGGCGCTAGAAGGACAGGTTGTTTGTTTGAGATAACTTTTTAGAATCTCATGTTTAATGAAGTCATTAGTCGATATTAATTTATATATCTACACACACACACACACACACACACACACACACACACATATATATATATATTAATTTTCTACGCAGCTATGCCACTTTGTATTCAAAACCGGAATAATAGATTAGGCCAAAGTGCTACCGCCCATGAGATGGAATCTATCGAACATTTCCAATCAGAGGTCAGACATCTAAAAAAAATACACTATACATATATTATAAAATTTGTATTATTAAAATTTTTATTTTTCTGCAACTTTAATTTTTATAGAATTAATTTATAAATTAATTTCGGTGTTTAATTAAAAATACTAGATATAAACAAAGAGACACATACATATTTAAATTATTTTTACAATTTAATTATTTTATTTTGTTATATATATTTCTAGAATTTTATCATCCTTCCCTGAGTTTATTCTTGCAATTTGTTTTCAAAAGTAATCTTTACAACTTTTCTTACATATATAAAAAATGCGTTTTCTTTGCTTTGGTTTCATCATATACGATAAATGATTACTGCAATTTCAGATCTGGCAGTATTTGATTACGAAAACAAACCTGGAACCCGGTTATCCGTCGATTAGTAAAAAATTCTTTGTCAGATATAATATAAATCACCGAGGTGTTACTCATGTGCGGCTCAACATATTCCCAAGCGGTGGTATCGCCAGACTGCGCATTTATGGGAAGATAGTGCAGCATGTTTATCAGCAATCAAGGTTTGCGGAATTTGATCTGATCTCCAGAATTCATGATGGTCGCTGTGTATCCTACAGTAGCAAACACTCCGGGCACCCTAATAATTTGCTGAAACCTGGAAACCCCATAAACGCAGATGACGGATGGGAAACTGTAAAAACTATGCCAAATATGCCACTCATGGCACAAAAATCCATAGTGGAAATGGCTAGAAATAATGTGGTACGCAACGATAAAATGCACTAATCGTAAAACTGTAAACTAATAGTCTGAAAATTATCTTCTTTTAGTACATCGCAAAATGTACATTAATTTTAACGTGTTCGTTAGATTGCAAAAAATAATCACATATTTCTCCAAAATATTTTTTTTCTAATTTGTGTTATTGATAGTAGTAATAAGAAAAAGATTTATTATCAATTTTTGATTTAGGAATGGGCTGACTTTAAGTTAGGGCACGTTGGTAAGATCCGTTTTGTTGTAATCGATACGTCACACTTCAAAGGAAATGCTCCGAGCTCCGTACATGTGAAGGGAAAATCATATTCTTCTTCAACTTGGCTGACTATTATACCAGAAACCAAGGCAAAATTTAATTGAATTTTTGTATTTTAGAACTTACAAGGAAAAGCTCCTAGTATACCTCTCCTATTTTAAACTTTTTATATAATTAAATGAAACTTGGTGGGTTTGTTGCACTGATCAATACATTTGATACGTATTTTTTTATCGACAAGCAAATATATTAATCGTAAGTGGTGAATCATGGTAATCAGCCCCTGAAAATTGGCCGAATTTTTGTTTTCTGGCTATATCCTCTGAATGAAACATGATAGCGTAATTTTGTAAATGTACAGAATTTCAAAAACTCTCCACTAAAATAAAAATTAATTTTTTTACATAAAAAATATGAGTTATGAAACTTAAGTCTTATTTCAACTATTTCTTCTTTTTCTTCAACTTACTTCTTTTTCAACTATTGATGGACATAAATACTTTTCTAGTGGAAAGATTTTATTTAAAGGAAAATGTGTGGTAATGTAGTTTTATTTCTATATGCTAGAAAGAATCAGAAATATATTTAATTGCGCGCGACCAGCGAAACTGAGAGCTAATAATAGAAAGTTGTGTACATTTTTTACATTTATAAAGTTACGCTATTATGCTTCGTTCAGAAATTATAGCCAAAAAACGAAAATTTGGTCAATTTTTGGGGGATTTTTTCACTTTTTAAACATGTTAGCTTGCCAATAAAAAATACGTTTCAAATATTTTAACCTTCTTTACAAACCCAGCAAATTTCATTAAAATCGGAGAGGAACACCTGAAAGCCTTTCTTTAATTGTTAGTCCTCTTTACTTCGAGTCACTGTTCACTTTTTCTCATTCATTTGTTGTCCTGTACCATTTCAATTAAGTATATCACTTTATAAAAATAGTGTATTTTTTGCAAGTGCGTAAAAAATTTATTAACAAAGACATTAACGCGTGAGCAAGAATTCTAATTAGAAAGATATTTCTTATAATTTGTATAATTTTTATACAGGTAATAGAGGGCACTGAGCAAATTATTCTTACGTTAGAAAATACAGATACGTTCATGACTGAAGTAAAACTAATACTTAAACCGAACGGCGGTATAAATAGATTCCGAACTTTTGGAACATGTCTATTTCATGAGACTGATGGACGACAACTTTGTGCAAATTGACGACGGTGCTTTTCAATCGCGTTCATCAAGACGAGAAGATACTTGTTATCGATACTTTAATGGCCAACCATTTTCACCATTTAAAAGAATTGAAATTTAAAGAAGAAATATTATTTTTTGCTTATTGACTACGAAGATTAGCGTTTTACAATATTACAATATTATGATGTTACAATATATGTTAAAAAATTTAACGAGAGAATCACTCGCTATAGTTTAACTTGTCAAACTTCTTTTCGTGGGCATTTCGCCGCACTTTGTTACGTCGCATCTGCTCGAGTAATCTCAAAAACAATCAATTTTGCGATCTGTCAGAAAAACATCAAATTTTTTTAAACTTGAAAAAAATTTTTTTTAATTGATATATATATGTGTCTTTCATTTTGTCAACTACATGGAAAATTATGTCAGTTAAGCAGAAACATTTCGGGTAGATGCTAGAATTAAAATCAAGACTCAATAATGTATGATAAATCTATAGAAAAATTTACACAGCACGAATAAACTTAATCTTGACACATGTATACTGTAGAGGATTAATTCCTCAGTAAAACACGTTTGAATCAAGCAGAGCTCTTTTATAGTTTCTAAGATATTTGAAATTGAAGACAAACACATATGTGACTAAAAATAAGAGTAAGGATTGTAGAACACCTAAGAATGATATCTTCTCGTAGTATATTTTATGCTCAAAAAGGAGTAAATAATAAGATGTATTAATATTTCTTCGTATATTATTATATATAATATGAGCTGCAGTTTTTCCAAATGTTATTTGATTAATATTCAATTTACGAACATATATGTATGCATGTATATTTTGATTGACAATGAGAGTAACATTGAAAAAGAAACGCGTAGGCGAGGGAGGGATCCGCTGTTTCCTCTGTACTCTCTCACCTCGAAAAAAATTAATCTAACCCATACCAAAACTCGGACAAATGTCAGGAACACAAAACATGGTCGACAATGTTATTAATTGTAAATAATGTTAACAAGACCGTCATGATATACAATCAATTTAAAAGGAACTGTCATTTGCAGTCCGAGCTCGGATTTTGGTAGCCTAATACTATTTTCTGTGTGTAATTTTTATACACGTATTTTTCTGCAACTTATTGTTAGTAAACTGCGCGCCGATTCTTTGTCGAACTTAAAATACAGTTATTGTCGGAACATTAAAATCCTCTTTTTTCTTAATTAAATCGATTCGATTTAACTTTAATGCTAAGCATCTATTACTAATTGTTAGTTAGAATTAGAAAAACGAACTATAAAAACTCTAACAATAGATTAATTAGAAACGCTAAATAGTTTTGTTACCGCTTAGCAGAGGCTGATAAATAACATTTTTTTTATCAATTATAATTATTATTAAAATGCACAATACTGTAAATGCGTTATTATTATAAAAGTCTTGAGAAATATTAATAAATACTTTATTCGTAGTTATTCGAATACACATCAAATTCTACTTAAATAATATATAATATCGATACTTGCATTAATATTATACCTATAATATTTATAAAGAAAATTATTTTACAATTTTCTTTCTGAGAGTGAAAATTTGATTTAAAATAAGTAAAAGGACGTAACCAGTTTAAGCATGACGACGTGGTACATAATAATATCTTATATTTACCTGTGACATGTTATGTACATGGAAAGGACACGTGGCTAAACATCACATCTGGTATGAAATATACGTTATCTCAGTCGGCTTAAGGAATTAGTCAGTGGCGTTTGTGAAAACAGTCAAGGAAATATTATTCAAATTATTCAAAACATTCTGTTTCGTAACATATATACTTGTGATATTACTTTAATATCATAATACATATTTATAATTCTGAAGAATTTTTTCTGGGAATTATTCTATATATTACGTCATATTGAGAACGAGGTATGTTCATTATTTTATTTATATAGAATAGACTTTAAATATTAAATAATATATATAAAATAGATGTTAGATATTAGTCTTTCAAATCATATCTATTCTAGTTAAGTAATACAATTTTTTTATTATTATATTGGATTATTATAGTATCGTTCTCTACATTATCACAAGATAGCTCGCCCGTCCTTAAGAAATTTGACACTCTATTCCTTATACACCTTATACTTTTAAGTAAACGATGTACGTAAATAGGTACCAAAAATAATATTTTGCATTATTATAGATGGAAATAAATAAAAATGTACAGGAACTCGGTACTATGGAAGATCAGGAAGTGTATGAATTGTCATCCAGAGAGGTAATTTTTCTCTTTAAATATGATAGTTTAATGTGTCAAATATGATATTATTGGAATCATATTCATATACCTACATATAGGAACATAAGAATTTAATTGATTATACATAATGATCCTTGAAGTTATTTTTTTTAATCAACCGAATTGCAATATAATATAGGTATAGTTCTATAAAATTACGTAACAATTTTTTTGTTAAATAAATTTCTTATTCTTAAGTAATATTATATTCTTGTGATTGCACAAAATACAATATTTATTTTATCATTAACACATATATTGTACAAAATACAAAATATTTGTTTTATCAACAACGTATATTTAACCGATAATGCTTTTAGATTTCTTATCGAATTTTCAAGCCGTCTCTCTTTCTTTTCTTTATTGATTCTTTCAAACATCTTCTTTTACATCATCGTCATTCAAATGATTAATGATGTTGCATTGTAAAACAAATTGCTTCTTTTTTTAACCGCAACTTATGAAGATTTTAATATATTTATTGATAATTTTCAGAACGGTGCGAGAATTGTATTTGCAACCGATGATTATTTTGGTGTGGCCGAAAATTTACTTAAGGTAAGTGGTGTTGTCTTCATAATAAGTAGATTGATGTAATAATTTCAATAAATATCTTTTTGACATTATGAGAAATATAAAATACAAAAGACAACTTACAATAAATTTATTATGAAATTTATGTATACAAAATGCACAGAACATGTATAGCAAAAAGAATGCGCACAATATTAATATATTCATTATTGTTTATTTTTTATTTTAGGAGGAAGAACCTGTGCAACAGGAGGGCTTTACGAATTTTGGTAACCGAATTATGGACGGATGGGTAACCAAAAGTAGACACGAAAAAAAACTTGATTTTGCGATTATTGAGTTTGCAGCCGACGTTAAAATAGATTTTATTTGCATAGACACGGCTTTCTTTACAAACAATTTTCCGAACCAGTTTTCCATACAAAGCGCTAGGAGAGGTTGTTTATTTGAGATAACTTTTTAGAATTTCATGTATTTAGAGAAAAAGATATTAATTTTTACATATTACAATTAATTTATTACGCAGCTATACCTGTTCATATTCAAAACCGGACTGGTAGATTAGGCCAAAGCGCTACCTTGTCTGAGATGAAACGTATCAATCAAATTCATTCAGAGGTAGGCATCTAAAAAAATACAATTATATTATAAAATCTGTATTATTGAAATTTTTTTTTTTTTGCAATTTTAATTTTTATGAAGTTAACTTCTAAATTAATGTCTGTGTTTAATTAAAAATATTGAATATAAATGAAGAAACACATATTTAAATTATTTTTACAATTTAATTATTTTATTCTGTTATATAATATATTTCTACAATCTATCACCTTTGCAGTCTGCAATATTCTAGCAGTCTATTTTCAAAACTGATTTTTACAAGAGAAGTAACTTCTCCTACGTATAAAAAATGCATTCCCTTTGCTTTGTTTTCGTCGCATATGATAAATGCAATTTCAGGCCTGGCCAGATTTGCTCACGACGACAAGTCTAGAACCCGGTTATCCGTCAGTCAGTAAAAAATTCTTTGTCAAATGTAATACGAATTGGCCAAGTGTTACTCATTTGCGGCTCAACATCTTCCCCAACGGTGGTGTCGCCAGATTACGCGTTTATGGAAAGACAGTGCATGGACTTTACCAGCAACCATCAGACTTTGTGCGATTCGATCTGATCTCCAGAATTTATAATGGTCGTTGTGTATCCTACAGTAGCAAACACTCCGGGCATCCCAATAACTTACTGAAACCTGGAAGCCCCATAAACTCGGATGATGGATGGGAAACTGCGAAAAATATGCCAAATATGAAAAATATACCACTCGTGGCACAACAATCTGAACAATCCGTAGTGGGAGAGGCTAGGGATGATGTGGTACGCAAGATAAAATGCACTAATCGTAAAATTGTAACAAATGGTCTGAAAATTATCTTCTTTCAGTACTTCGTACAATGTACATTAATTTTAACGTGTTCGTTAAATTGCATAGAATAATTATTATTTCTCCAAAATATTATCTTTTTCTAATATTTTTGTGCCATCAATAGTAGCAATTACAAAATAATTTATTATCAATTTTTGATTCAGGAATGGGCTATATTTATGTTGGGGCATATTGGTAAAGTCCATTACGTTATAATCGATACCACATACGTTAAAGGAAATGCTCCAAGCTTTGTACATGTGGAGGGATTATCATTTCCTGCAATGACTTGGCTGACTCTTATACCAGAAACCAAGGTAAAGTTCTATTGAATTTTTGCGTTTAGGACTTACTTAATTTATGAAAGTACACTATTATTCTTTATTCAGAAGTTATAGCCAAAAAATGAAAATTTGGTCAATTTTTTCGAGAGGTGATTTCACCTTTTAAACACTTTTGCTTGCCAATAAAAAATACATCTCGAATATTTCGACCCTCTCTACGAAACTATCAAGTTTCATTAAAATCGAGAGAGGGACGCCTGGGAGCTTTTTCTTGATTTGTCCTCTTTGCTTCGATTGTTCACTTTTTTTATTTGCTGTCTTGTATTATTTCAATTAAGTGTATCACTTTATAAAAATAATGTATTTTTTTTTGCAAGTGCAGAAAATTTACTAACAAATGCATTAACATGAGCAGAAATTCTAATTAGACGGATATTTCTTTTAATTTGTATATAATTTTTATACAGGTAATAGAGGGCACTGAGCAAATTATTCTTACGTTAGAAAATACAGATACGTTTATGACTGAAGTAAAACTAACAATTAAGCCGAGCTCCAGTATAAACAGATTTCGAGCTTTTGGAACATGTCTATTTCATGAGACTGGACAATCTTGTGCAAATTGATGGTGCTTTTCAGACAATCGCGTTCACCAAGACGAGAAGATACTTGTTATTATTGATACTTCAATGATCAACCTCTTTCATTTCTTGAGCGAGATAAACTTTGAAAAAAAAAAAATTATTCTTTGTTCATTTGCTATGACGATTAGCGTTTTACTGATATTACATGTGTTAAAAAAGTTTACGAAAGTATCACTCGCCACAGGCTTATTAAACTCGATTTCGCGGGCATTTCGCCGCGCGGAGATTTCGACGATGGATAACGAAGAAAGCTGATGCCCATCACTATCATAAATGTGAATCGTGACAATGATGTGAAACGTTATAAGGCTCATTTACACTTAAACAACTCAATCGTGCCTGAACATTGTATAATGTAACAATTATAAACGATATCAATTGCGTTACGTCGCATCTGATTGAATAATTTCATAAATAATCAATTTTGCATCTTCCCCGAAAAACATCGAATTTTTTAAACTTGAAATAAATTTTTCTTTTTATAACATATGTCTATTTTATTTTGTCATTTATATAAAAAGTCGTGCCAGTTAAGCAGGAACATATCAGTTAGATGCTACGAGAGTTAAAATCAAAACTCTCAATAATATATGCGCTAAACCTGCAGAAAATTTTACATAGCACGAATTAACTCTACTTTGACATATACTGTAGAGAAAAATTAAAAAATTTTACAATTTATTCAATAGTAAGTTTGTCGGAGAACAACAACGTTGATAAGCAATTTTGCCACTTATTACGTGATGTTGTATTAAAAAGTTTATTTTCGTCTTCGATGATTATAGCTAGAAACTCATATAGAAGCATATTTGGCTTGGAAGCCAAAGATTAACTGCAATCATGCGTTCAGTAAAATATACCGAGAACACGAATATAACAAAGAAATAGACGTCTTATCTCTTAAAATTTTTGAGTGCAGTAAGATAATATGCGGCGAGAAAATATCACTCTAAAATGTTCTACATAACTCTCGCTACTTTTAGGTATATCTTTAACTTGAAATATTTTTGAAACTATATATAAGAATGCCGCTTAGTTAAAAGAACGTTGTAATCAATAATTAACCTTTTATAACATATGCCAAGGTTACACGTGCTGTGTAAGTATTTCTGTAGATTTATCTGATGTAGATTATAATAATTGCTACAATTAAATTATCGCAGTAGAATATTACTTTATACACCAAACATAAAATTTGCATTATATCCTTACGTAATTTCTATACCTCGCTGAAGTTACAGGCACTCACAGGTGTGTTCGCGTTGCGTGAACTAAATATATATAGTGAGATCGCATGGCTCATCTGTGAATAAATGTGTAATAATTAAGTTAACGACTAGGGAATTTACTGAAGGCATGAGATGATCTTGCGAACATTCTAGCCGCCCGCGATTCCAGTTTTTTTCTGAATAATTTTCGCGATTAAGGATGATTATATTCGCGGTCACTCATTTTAGTCATCGTCGCGATTAATAAGCACTGCTCTTAAGCAAACGTGAGCACTCATTGTACATTTTGTGGGCTATACTGTGAGCGAGAAGTGTGTCAAGTTTAACGGCACTTAGTCAGGCAAAGCAACTGTCGCGAAAAAAAGAGCGACTAATGTCGAAATTCTGTTGGAATTTTTCAAAAAAAAATTTTCTTTCCGTTTCATTTGGAAGATCCATCTAAATGATAACTATTAAGCATAAAATGGCCACGCACGCGGAAGATCTCACGGAGCACGGACCTGCAGGCTGTATCTGGTATACTTTCGTTTGTGACACACACATCTCTGCGGCTTAGAACGGACGGGTGAGTATATATATATGTATGCGATATCGTTGGTTCAAACGAAAGTGGCTGATGTGAACCGTTCACGTACACGCGCGTGCGATGGAGAAGCAGGTTTTACGTACACTAGCAAATGAAACTTTAGCTAACGCGTATACGGATAAAAGAACTACTCTTGCGCGTATATATTCGTGTCACCGTGTGTGTGTGTGTGTGGACGACGAGTTTTTTCACTATATTACTTGCATCGACCTATTATACACGATTCAGACCACATACTAGCATGATATTTTATTTTTCAAAGATACGTATCTAACTTTTCGACTCGCCCGAGTGTTTGTCGTTTTCAGCAATCTTTCGAGTGATGGCTCGCTATTTCCATAATAAATTCTTCATTCCTGCTTAAAATAACAATTTTGAGTGATTTAAAAAATTGTGTCTCTTTGAGTCACCAAGCGATGTAACAATACTCCGATTGAATATGTGATTCTCTGCAACTTTGAACAAGATGAAGGTCTTATAATTTGCATCAAATTTGCATCTAAATTGCATTCAAACAGTAGCGTTTAAACAAAAGTCACTTTGTGAATGAGTAAAATAATGCCTTATTTTAAATGTAACTACGCCAAAAGCGTCTTTTATATAAATATATAAATATCGCTGCAAAAAACGTCTGATACGAACGGATCAAGATCACAGCTCTCGTTGGCGCTATTGCGCGTCAGTAGATATAAACTGCGCGTATAATTAAACATACAATTTACCTAGAAATCATGAATAAATCATACATATAAATGAAATGCGTGCAGTAATTACTGATACTGATTATTAACGCGAATAAAAAAAAATGTGCTTATATAATCATTTAATTGCAGATCGAGATGCACTTATCTGGGTTAACATGCATCCTTGGATATATTTCCAACGTCTGGACAATAGCGGAATAACAAATTCGCGTCTGCTTCAGTTGGATTATGTAGAAATGATATATAGACGATATTCTAACGACATTTCAAGCAATGCGTGTAGATAATTTAGAAACGTCTTACATGACATTTAAGATTTCGCAATAATACCGTTGATACTTGCGGATAAAGGTAAATTTATCGATGGCGGCTCTATTCGGTCATTATTTATATTATTCGCTCTATGGAAAATCCTTCTTGCCGATTCACGCACCAGGATTCCAGCGACGAGAACCTCCTACTTTACACACGAAGGAGAAAGCAGGAACGCGGGATTTAAAGGATCTTTAAAAAATGTATAAAATCCGAGTTCGCGTAGCTTGAGAATATAACTATCTCCTGTGCGAAATCAAAGTCCAGCACACTTTCCAAGATGGCCATTTGGGATTCTTTCTCAATCCGTGGGACTCGATCTTCTTCGGCAAGGCCGTTCATCCCTCCACGATAGATATTTTTCAATCGCAGATCCTGTAAACATCTCTGGAGCGAATCTCTAGTCATTAATGTGCGGTACGTTTACATTTTCGCGTTCGCTATGTGTTCACGTGCACACATAAATCGCAGTCAGCAGCCGGTGATTCGTTTATCACACGTCAGGTGAATGCGGCGCGGCAGGGCGACGGTGGATACCACCTTTCTTGCGTGCACGTGTGCCTCCGAAAGCGTGTGTTGGAGCGGAATCGCGCGCGCGCCCGCGCGTCCACGCGTCTCTGTTGCTCAACCGGACTCCCCGTCTCGACGTCAGTGCGAGAAATACGTTCAGACCGATCGGTCGTATTGCACATCCGCGGCCGCGGTGAGAGCTCCGGAACCGCTCCTCCACAATACGGTGCACGCGCGAGGCACGCCGAAGGGATCCCGCGCGAGCCTGACGAAAAAAAAAAAACGGAGCTCCCATCCTTCCGAAGGGCTACCCCGAACGGGAGCGGAACGCACCTCCCGCGACGAGCCGCGAAAAGGTGCGAGAATCCCCATCGCGAAAATAGTGATAAGTCTCGTTTTCCTCAATGTGTGAAAAGTTGGATCTTCTGATATTTAAAAAAAATTAAAAAAAAAAAAAAAAAAAGCAGAAACCGCGCTCTGTTCAACGAAAAGTAGTCTCGACTTTCCTCCTCGTCGCGTAATTAGTTGCCGAAATGTTTGATTTTCTGCAGTGAAAAAAAAATGTTATAGACAACGAGATAGTCGATGGAACGTGCGCAGGTAAAGGAATCGGACACAGATGATTAGGACGCGCGGTCAAAGTGGGGCAAAATGTTTTAACGTTGAAAACTGGGAATACGCGAAGACTGAGAATAGATGTGAAATGAATTCGAGAGAAAGTGTAAACGCGTACGATGCCTGAAATCACGTCCACATGTTCGATATTACGTACTCAATTAACATCAATTTATAAGTTTGCCGAGAATACATCGATGCAAATGAAACGCCAAACAAATTTTGCAAACTCGAGATACGACGTCGACAGTTTTTTTGTTTTCAAATTTGGTCAACGGATTTTGTAGCTTGCATATTAGAAAAACAGATATGCTTCTCCGTATACCGATATGTTTTCACGGAGAAACATATGCTAGAAATTAATATCTTCGATATCCGAGAGCGCTGTCTTTAGTAAGAGTTCTGATCTCAATTCGAATGCATTACACCGCACTTTCCTACTTTCATCGCTAACTGAAAGATATTAATCTCGAGAAGACGTCTTGAAGCGAAAGGGATAACGGATCCTTTTAAAAAATTGAATAAATTTACGATTTTCGATGATTTTAACCACGACACTATAAATGAAGTGGAATTAAACAATATACAGTTGATAGAAATAATAAACGAAATTAAAAATGTTGTAAAGTTATAAAAAAAAAAAATTAAAAATTCACGAGAAAAGAGGAACGTGTATGCGTAAGACGACTTTTAAGATTATTTTTGGACTTTTGGCGTCTACGTACAAAGCACAATAAAAAAAACATTGTTAAAATCTGTGTAAAATGTATTAGATAGTGTAATTAAATATTTAATATTATACTGCACCAACAATTTTATCTATATATTGCATGTTGCAACATCGAAGATTACATACGTATTAGGTAATGCAAAATGTAAGCCCTGCGGGTATCTCGCTAATGAGTCGACGACCGTCAGCGTCATACGTACTTATAGTCATGTACACGACTAAATTATATGTATACAGCATTTGATTTAAAAACTTTTTTAAATTAATTATTACTGTTAGTAGGAATTTTCCAGATCGTCAATAAAATATATTCTTTTTTTTTTTACGAAATTTATTTTTCTGAGACTGGCTATTATTAGGCGCTGTGTAAAATATAATAATGTTGACGTAACGTCAATCGTTAAAATTATTATAACCAATGTACGCAATTGAATATTAATGAACAATTGCGTAACAAATTGAGAGAATATCTTGATTAATTGATATTAATTTTCTCAGACACGAGGATTAGACATATATTTTACATAGTGTCATTAATCAATAAGAAGCAGATCTTTTTGTTATGCACACATATACACATATTACATGTACACATATACGCACACGTAAAGTTCTTTATAAAAGAATTTTAGAAATAATACCGAGTCAAATGTTCAACGATTTGTTGAAGCGCATCGCGTTACGCGGTCTTTTATTACGCGTTTGATTTTTTTGCGGTGATTTTGACGCGATTCTTTCAATAACTGCGCATTAATAGATTGTTGTCTAATTGTTCGCGACGTCGCGTCGCTCTTACATGCCGTGTCGCGTGATGCGAATAATTCATTCGTTCAAGTAGCACGTGCGATCATTGTTCCTCGACTGCACACGCTGAAACCATACGCGTCCGTTTTTCGCGTCGATGATTTAATAACGACATCACACGCAACGAGAAACATCATCTCAAAAATTTACGTCGGATCAAAAAAAATTTTTGATTAAAATTATAATTATTTATTACTTACGGGGTTTTTTTTTAACGCGACAGAAATTATTATTTCGCGATTCAAATAATTTGCGTTAAATAGCAACGTTTAATAACAACGGGATTTCAAAAACTATATATTACGGTTATGATAAATAAGTAAATCTATTTTGTTGACAAAAATTATGAGCGAGCCAATAACGATTGTCGCATTCTGCTCTCGCGCGATTTAAGTTCCCATTTGCTAAGAATACCCATTGTGTCGTGCGGTTTGCGGTATAATAGGATTTCATTTCCCGAGATTACACGCCTCTCAAACGCGTGCAGACATTTAGCATATTTTCAAACATTAATATACCGGCGTATATTAATTAGTCGAGCGTGTGCGACATTCAGGAATGCCGTGCGCTCGATCGCCTGAAATTTCGCTTTCATGAAAGTAAGTCGTGTACTTCGTTCGTTGCACGTGAACAATCGCAAAGATTAATACCACGTATAGACAAATACCTCATTATTCTATCAACCAAATTTATAGTTGCAACATATCATTAAAGTAGGTAAACCTACTTTAATGTAATCTTTGAACGTTCGAAGAAAGTTCTTTATATAAAGTAAAGTTGCTGTAAAAATTTTTACAAGGCGATTTATTATTAGATAACAATAAAATAATTATACGACAGAAATGAGATAAAGACACAAGAGTTGCATGAATGTAATAAATAATGGTGAGATAAAAGAAAAGTATTTTACAAAGATAAATGAAACCATATTCTTCGGATCCTTGGTGAATGTATAAACGCATCTGTGAATTAATTAAAATTAAGCTAGAGCTTTATGATAATCTTTTCCGCCGGCATCCGGCTTAAGGACGTTCTCTCGTCCTTATACTAGAGAAAATCGATTTTTTTAGGATTTTCTTGAAACTGTGAATATATGTTAATTTAGGTGTGCTTTATGCGTGGTATAAATTTCAGTACCTCTTCCGGTATAAAAAATCAAGATACTGAGCCTCAACGTTTCAACTTTTACTAATGAAAAGGTTTTTCAGGCCAAACGGTAAGAGATACGAGGTTGGCCAAGAGGACTAAAGTTGCTCCTCTCGTCGAGTTCTATAAGGAAAAAATGCCAAAACTAAAAAAAAATAAAATTTTAAATTTTTTTTTGAAACTTTGAGGCTCAGTATCTTTATTTTTTATCCCGGAAGAGGTACTGAAATTTATAAAGCGCGCATAAAGCACACCTAAAAATTAACGTATATTTACAGTTTCAAGAAAATCCTAAGAAAATCGATTTTCTCTAGTATAAGGACGAGAGAACGTCCTTAATGGCTCTTTGCTTCTCTGAGAAGAAAGATCGACCGAAATCATCGGGCGAGAGTCTCTTATCTTGAGAGCGACCGGTATTTTCCCGCTTTCACAAAAACGTCTGGGACATTTTTCAAGCAGAAGTGAGGCCAGTAATATCTGTCGTCGCGTATATACACACGATTCCGCCATTCAAGAGAAACGTCGATTCGTCAAGGTAAACGCGGTGCAAAGTCCCACAAAATTCTTGCGGCGTTAAAAATCTCTATTCGCATGGCAGGAGTCGATTCTCTCTCTTTCTGCTTCTCTCTCTTTTCTTCTTATTTGCAATAACATCCGTCAGTAATATTCACAAGCAGCCTATTACGTATACGAGGACACGTTACTTTAAAATTCCCTACACATGATCGGGGCGATTGCGACGTAGATTAGATATGTTGGATCTTCCTTTTCTCTTTCTCTCCTTTTTCTCTCGGTTTTTCCTCACGCGATCCCGCAGAGTGCAATAACACGTAGAGGCAACTGAATACCGGTGTAATTGCTAATGATAAATACGATAACGAGTGAATCACTAGAAAAATTCGAATCACTAGACGGGTGATGGTGCGAAAAGTAGTCGCGCGCTCTTAACGCGGGAAGAATTTATTACTTGTGTTGCCGCTACAAGAACGTCGTCGTGATATTGTCGTAGAAAAATCGTGAATAAATCTTCTTGTTATCTAGTAACAGTATCTCGATTACGTTATGAATCGTCACAACGATGATTACTCAGTTGTTATTTTAGTTGAAATAATCTAAATTATTTTATCGCCTTGTAACATGGCGGTAGGAATTTATTTTTTTAAATTATATAACACTTCTACTTACAAATATTATCCTTTACTATTTTTTTTTAAACGGCAAGAAAAAAATCTTCTGATATCGCAGCAAAGAAAATTACTGAATATCGGTCAGATTCTTCTAACGCAACGATGAAATTTTCTTACATCAATTTTCAGCGACCAAGTGTTTTCTATGGTAATGATGGGATTAAGTAACATCTATGAACGAACTGGATCGGCACATTCACGATCTCTCACTTTCGATTGCTACGTGACGACGAGGCGGCGCGCACCTACTCGTTGCTACTGTATATATATCGGTATCCTCCGTGACGCTCGAGATATCCTAACAAGCCAAAGAAAATGATCGCTATTTCCAACGACGGCGGCGTGGCCGCATTTTCTATTCCAGTGGCCGACAGATCGTTATATACCACGCTTTCTTCCTAATGACCTCGAGCGTGCACACTTCGCTCGGCCGCGATAAAGTTGCGTTTAAAGTTTCACTTTCCGTTTATTGTCATTGAATGAGCGCGCGCTCATTAAAGCAATTGTAATTTGTAATATTCCCCCGCGACGGGAAAATCAAGTTTCCTTTCGCGGCTCGCGATGTTACGATATCGAGGACGCGGGGTCGAAGATCATTTCAGGTTTCAAGATATCTACAGAATACTTAGAAAAAAAAGACATTTAGGAGAACATAAAAGTAAAAACAAGAGTTTCCTATTAACATAAACTATATATAGTATTATAGTAATATTGTTCTATGCGTTGATTTATTGGTTCTTGGACCAATGTTTATAAATCGAAGTCGGTGTAAATTTGGGACGCGATATGTCGGTTCACGTCATAATCAGCAATTTGATCAAATTTCAATTTATTTAAAAAAATATTCAAGATAGTGTTAAAAAAAAAAAAAAAAAGAAAATCATTTGCGAAAGTTGTCACTGATAATGGAAAAATCCACTTCCGTTAAACGGCAAAAAAGATGTAATTTCGAATGCACGAGGCGGAATTCGTTTGATTATTCAATATATCTCGTCGTGACGCACATCGCCAGTAGGAAATCTCCAATAATCTATTTAACTTTCAGCGCGACGCACCGTGCCGGGTGACGTGTTTTTAACGTGGAAACAAAAGATGCAACGTCGTTGTTGAATCAGGCAGCCAGAACTTTCGCGCGTGAGTTCTCGCGGAGATTCTCAACCCGCATCAAGGCCGTTCGCGAAGTGAAACAATAGTGGAAGCGCCCACGAGATGGATAACAAAGGATTTCAGAGTGAGGATCAGGTGCAACGGGAGAAGATAAGGAAAATGTTCAGCTGGACTGATGGACTTACCAGGTAAGTCACATACAAGCATGTAGACTCAAACGTGACGGAAGAAATCTCTCAGATTTTGCGAATATGCTTCAATTTTCAGGTGCAAAAATTATATTTAATAAGATTTCTCTTTATGGAATTAATATATATATATAATATATTGTGTTTTTTTTATTTATAATATATCATATTTCTTAAGTATAATGTAAAATAAAAAATAGTGTTAAAAGTTATAGATATAATTAAGGCTGTGTCTGGCAGATTTTTTCTGGAATATGTATAAGAGCGAATTAAGGTAGAAACCTGAAAATTTGTCCGCGCAGATATCAATATATTTGGGATTTCGTTTCACAAGGTTAGCTAATTATACATATCGAAATTCATGTATACACGCCGAACATATTTTACGGTCCAGCGGAACTTTCTTCGGCGCCGGTTTCTAAGAAAGCTCGCGCCGTGTGTTTGCGCATGCATAATCATCGGGGATTGCCAATCGTGCGATATTGCAATTTCAGTTGCATTATGCGCGACTTACGCGACGACGCGACGCGCCAGCATGCAGGAGCGAAATCTGCGCGGTAGCAGCGTTTCCGCGGGATTTTGTAATCTACCGCAAAAAGAGCTAGCCGACACGGAGGGAACTTAGACGAATTCGCTTTGAATACAGATGATTGATTTATGTTAAACAGGCGGAGTAGCCTTCCAACGTCAGCCGGAGATATGGGTATCCCGTAACTCGTCTCTCGCATCCCGTGTCTCGCATAAGATAATTTCTGGGAGATTCCGTTTACGAATCGCTTGCTATTTACAGGCGAATCGAATTCAAGCTTGAATCTCTCAAAGAAGATTTCTCGAGGGAGAAAAATCGCGGTTCGAGATCAATCGCGATTACTCGAAGCGCGAGTTTTAGGTCACCCCTCGCGATACGTAACGCGCGCACTCGCGGGATTTTTTTTTCTTCTTCTTCAGCGTAGTTCTCTCGTCGTAGGAACTTGCCGCGTGCCACTCGGCAATGGGTCCTGCGCGGCTTACTTACTTCGGCGGGACCGAGTTCGCAATCGCGCGTGAAAGTGGCCGGCAATGGCCGGCAAGTGCAGCGAGAGACCAGGCCGCGCGCGCTTTGCCTGACTACAGCATTGTGCAGTGAAAGGACAAACGCACGCACGCACGCACGCACGCACGATCGTACGTAACGCATCTTCACCGTCGAGACATTTTTACGGCGGATTTAAGTATTAGTAATAGTTTACGTTTGCTCTGTGGGGATACCGCGTGCCAATAATTAAGGTGCGGTACAAAAAAATATAAGAAAAATACCGTGATGAAGTAACGTATCGAGAATGCAAAAAGAAAAAGGAAATGCATGTGTATAAAAAGAGCATACGTGAAAAATTATGAATACGGAAATATAAAAAATCGAAAGAGATTACATAAAACGAGAAAGACACGTAATATTCTTATTTAAAGCGATTAATTCAGAGTTTCGATTACTTCAAAGAACATTGAAATTGTCTTATTGAGTTGGTGCGCATCAGTTTTGATAAATTGTAAAGAGTAAATAGTAATTTGTAAACAAAATATTTATTTAACGATATACATGTTAGCTCGCCTCGGAGACTCCGAGAGAGATAATTCTAGGAAGCTATTACTATAGACGTAAGATTGGAGTAAGCAAAGTCTTTATTTAACTTGATTCTTTTAGCTCTTTTAACTCTTATATCCCTCTTATCCTTCTGCTTTTAACGCATACCTATGATCGGATCGCGGTTCTCCCGATATCGAAACACCAATACACATGGAGGTTCAGGAAGGTTTTAAGAGACAACATGTCTCGCGAACGAAATGCTTTATGTCGTTGCATAATCCCAACAAATGTGCGCTATTATGTGACTAGGAAGTGTGAAACTCGAAACGCGTGATTTGTTCATTATCCGACGTATGGTCTGGTGAATGCACGCAACAGATGCCACTTTAAGTGTCATCCGAAGCATAAAATTGCGACGCATTCTCTCTGCCGATTGTTATGTGCCAAGCGTGAGGGCTTGGCAATTTTCAGCAATTATTCATTCGACAACGCGAGATATATTGACTACAAAATTCCATATGCTTATATGAAAGGAGATTTCTTTTATACATATTTTAAGTCAAAGTTTTTTTTTAACACTTTAATCTAAATTTAAATTTATAATTCGAAACATATGTTACTTCTTAAATTTCTTTTTGTTTAGGGAGTGTAAATTTTTTTTATTAGTCTCTTTAATTAGTAATTTGTTGTTTCCTAAAAGAAGGTAAAAAAGAAGAAATAAATTTAAATTATTTAAACAAGAAAAAATTTAAGAACATATGCTTAACATATATGTTTCGCATAGCTCCTCAAAATTTAAGTTTAAATTGAAGTGTTAAAAAAAACTTTGACTTAAAATATGTATAAAAATACTTTTAATATTTTTTCATAAGCATGTGATGACACGTGTGGAATTTTGCGTTATCGAATAAAAAATTGTCGTAAATCGGAATTACCTCAACGGAAGAAGGTTGCCGGATCCAAAAAATATTCATACTGCGGATAGTAAAGAAGTAAAACTAAAAATGATTATAGCGCGCAATATAATCATCTTTAGCGATCGATATCGAGATCGCAGAGGCTTATCCTCAAGTGTATCTTCAAAGATACGAGTGTATCTGCTAGGTATTTCTTCCAAGAGATGGCACCACGACTTCGACTTCTCGGCAGGACTTCGAGGCTCAAATTAGCATAAGCGTTTTTCTCGCGTTTCGCAAATGCCTTGAGACGCGAAATGATTAACTCGTCGACCTATTTGTCGCCGCCGTTGCGAGCGTGGATTTAATGACACTTCTAAACCGTCGCCGTTTCTCTTTCCAGCAAAATTGCCGATAATTATATCGATACAAATAAGATTTTTAAATAAATTTGCAGACTGTTATTAAAGGAAGCTATTATGAATTTCGTTGAATAAGTTTTAAAGGATATTTCATTAAAATTCAGTCTAAAGCTGCGTTTTGACGTTTTCAGCGCTGTAAATATCATTCTTTTTTCGTCATGCACATCGAATATCAAACAAAGATGGAGCGATGCTTTCAGCGCTGAAAGCGTCAAAAGAAACGCAGCCTAAATGCAATAAAAATAGGAAGATTAATTTATTTAAGACTCGATTTAAACTTCTTTATTTTCAACAAATAATCATGAAAATATCCAGTAAAAAAAAGACATCAAAGACATCAAAGAGTCCGTTTTTGAGAGATTCTTTAAATATACATATTATATATTATTTTCTTTTTCTCTATCAATTTCTGTTCTTTCTTTATATTAATCTAATTAGTCATCTTTACTATATATACGAAGCGTCTTAATCGCACAAAGACAAACGCTGCTTTTGCTTGCATTGACGATAGAGATAATAATATTAATAATATTTGTCACCAGTCGAAGGTCACGATCGTTCCGTTTAATTTTCATAAGTGTCTTATTTTTTAGCGATCGAATGATTAGCGAGAAAAATTATTCGTGTGAATATGTACGTCGTGTCTAGCATGTTCGCTTATTCATCCTTCAACATGTCTCTTCAGCAAACGGCATTGTTACCATTTCTAACGCTCTACAACGCTTTTTCTCACTTCTGATGTCGACGAGACAAAAACGTACATCGATCAGTTGTTCTATACAATTAAATTTATATGCTCATATACATATGCCCATGTGTGTGTGGTTAAGTGCTAGCCAATTTAGTTCTAAAGTACCAGGACGTCTCATAAAGAATTCATTGAAATTTTTTGCAAACGCAAATAAATGGATTATACACGTGTCTTTATTATTTCTCAGAAATAATCTTCTTTTTTTAAATCTAATTTAAAATTTAAAAGAGTTTTCTAAGAATTTTTAAATCTATAGATATATGCGCACACGATAGATATGCGATGAAATTTTACACACGGAACAAAATCTTAAAAAAACGCGAAATCTCTGAAATGTTATTTATTAAAAAGCATAAAAATGCCATTAATTTTCAGAAAGACACGGAAAATTTACCATTGATCTACGATCGTATAATATTTTCACTTTAAACATTGCCTTCTATGTCATTTACTGTGTTCGGTGTTTGTTTATGACGCATATATGTATCATTCGTTGCTCGGGCTCTACACGTCATGGTTCGTTCCATCTGTCTACAGACCGTTTACGCAATAACTTCTTCTTCTTCTTCTATAGCTTGTTTTCATCCACTCCTGGACATAGGCCTCTTCCATTTCCTTCCATGTCTTCCTCTCCTGTGCTGTCTGCATCCACTTCTTTCCTGCGTAGCGTTGGATGTCATCTCGCCATCTCGTCTGTGGTCGGCCAATGCTTCTTTTGGATTCTCTTGGTCTCCATTGCATCAGGACCTTGGTCCATTTGGTGTTGCTTCTCGCAACATGTCCCGCCCATTGCCACTTTTGTCTACTTGTTCGTTTAACCACGTCGGCAACTCCTGTCCTGCAACTTCTTCTTCTTATCTCTTTGTTTCGGATTTTATCCCTCAGGTTGATTTTCAGCATTGCTCGCTCCATTGCCCTCTGACAGATTCTTAGTCGGTTTGCGCTGTTCGCTGTGAGAGTGATTGTTTCGAGTCCATACGTCGCAACTGGTAATATGCACGTATCATAAATTTTCCGTTTGAGGTTGATTGGGATTTTTGATTCTCGGAGGATGTAGCTTAGTCTGCCGAATGCTGTCCACGCCAAGCCGATCCTTCTAGTGATCTCAGCTGTCTGGTTACGCAATAACTATGACTCAAATATTGTAATATTGACGCACAAAGATCCATGTATGTTTTATTATTGTATTTCGCTTTGTATTTCGTTATTTATTGTATTTCGCATCACGGTTATTAATGCACATTCCACATGCACGTGTTGGATTACCGGTAATTTGTATTGTTCCAGCATTTAACTTGATAAGGGGTCGAAACGTAGTTGATATCTAATAAAGTTTTGCCAGTCAGGCCGATTAACATTCTCGTTGT